TGTGGTTTAATTTCATTATTACTTGAAAATTTACTTAAAATTTTTGAAATTTATATTTGCAAAACTTATTTGAGTTGTAAGACCTTAAATACGTGATGGAAAACTACACAATTTTTAATTCAAAAGATTATATAAAAGAACGCGCATATATTTTACGATACGTGCTCAACAATTACGTAGTATAAATATAAGTAATAATAAGTAATATCGATTATTTACTACTTATAAAGGACAGATCAACGAAATTGAAGAGATGATGTCATGTATTTGCACATATATGTAATGGTTAACCATTAACACATATTTCGAAAATTGTTACATAAAACTTCTATTAATTGCTTAATCATGGTACGTACATTCACTGTACACGTTTGTAATTGATTGTAATAAGTAATGATGTGGCAATGAAGTTTTTTTTTTCTTTTATTATTTATTTTATAATTTTTTTTTAATATTTTGAAAAATTCAAATTTTATTTTATGAAATAATTTTAAATTAAAAATATTTTTCTAGAAAATTATAGTAAAACTTTAAAAATCGGTACAAAATTTGATCGAAAGTCATAAAGTTTATGACATTAATGTTATGTCATTTTATAACAATCAACAGACCAGAAAATTATTACCGGAAATTTACCATTTTTTTTTTTTCTTAAATAGTAATTGGTTGTCAGAGAAAATAAAAAATGCGAAATACAAAAAAAAAAAAAGCATCAAGATTTAATTTTTAATTTCATACCAAAGTTTATTATTTATTTGAAAATTTATAACCATTTATTATAATTGAGATTTTCATGAACGCATATTACTGCAAAAACCTTACGCTATGGACATGCAAAATAAATTTTGGCGATTCTACTTATATAAAAATAAAACATTTCATATGAAGTAAGTCCGCTATACTCTTAAAAATTTCACTATATTGCTGATAATTTAGCAATGCTTATTAAAAATTTCGATTTGCAACATTTGGTTAAAAATTAAAAATTTAGAATATTAGAAAAAATATTTAATTATTAAAGTCGCAGTTATGTTAAAAATGACGTTTCCTTTATCATTAAAATGATGGCAAGAATAAAATAGAATCAGTATCTATTAATATGAAATTTAGATATCCGTTCTCTGACAATTTTGATTATACCTCTGTAACTCAATTGGTAGAATGTTCGCCTAAGTCATTGGTTCAATAAGAATAATATTTTTAATTTTTCTTCCTTGAATTGTACATATGGAATTTTTTATGTAAAGAAATAGAAATCTATTGATTTAAACAAATTGATTTAGAATGCAGAAATATTTATCAAACTGATATAGAAATCTCCGAATAGAAACTTAAAAAAAAAAATATACCTGTTCTGACTTCCTTCAAACCTGTTCTGAAGCACATATATGGGGAAAAAAATGCATGAACTTTTTTTAAAATTAATTTAATTAATAATATTTTCTATAGCAAACACTACTTCTGTTCTATTGAGTGTAAAATAATTTTATCACTTAAGGCACCTTAATAGATATAGCTTTGTGAATATCTAAGAGACGTAAATAGTGGATTTGTTTTAAGAAAATTATGATCTTTTACTTTATAACAACAATCCTTTTCTAGTTTATAAACGATATTTTCAGATCATGTTTATAAAATTATCTTTAAGATTAATTTATGCCCTATTTATTGTGCTTCCTTTTGTATTACAAAAATATACATATAAATTGCAAGAATAAGTTTTTCACTTACAAACTTAGTTCTTACAAACTAACCCGTACAAACATATATTCGAAGGATATACTAAATTTGCCTTACCGTATGTAACGCTAAAAAATAATGGTCTGACATATAGGCTCAAGTGTATTGAAATTCCATACTAGCAAATATATTATTAGGGCCAATGTGTTTGATAAAATTCGTTAAAATTGCTTAGTTCTTTCTGATAGCAGCCATACAACTTTAATAGTAGTTTGGCCATATCTAATAATAGAGAAAATATTAAAAACACAGTACCGAAATTTTGCATAAATTAATATGGTTATACGACAACTTAAAGTCATAGTCTGTTCCATAATCAGCTAGGGCATATCTATTGGCACATAGGATAACAAATTCGTACGGGTATCATAGAGTTGACACGGTCAAATCTGTTTTTTTTTTCGTTTTCTTTTTTAATTCTCTGAAATTTACATTAAATATAAACTGATTTTATATTTGAAATATGTTTTATTTATTTTTAAAAATCTAAAACTTATTATACTTACATAATGCGTTTTTTTTTTAATTTCTGTGGAAAACACCTTTATCCGCTCAAATATTCTTTTTTATTGTTATTTATTTATCACCCATTTGAATAAGAACCAAATGTATGTGTGCATGTTTTTGCTTCAAAATATTTTTTAAAAAAAATATGGAACAGAAAACATAAGTTTCCTTTTGCGAAATTAGGATTAATTCAGTACAATAAGAGTAGTTTTTGTTTGAGTTTCTTGTCCTTTGTTAAATAGGTTTAAATTTATGGGTCGTTCCCTTAAATACTTATTCATTCTTTTATTCTATTATTGAATATGTTTGTGACTGAATTTTTTTTTGTAATAGATATCAGAATTATAAAATGTGAACTTTTTGTAATTAAACATCTAAATTTGATCCTTTTTTTTTATTTTGTGTTCATAAAGGTCGATCGCATTTCTATTATCCTTATTTTATATACAAAATCTAAAAAAAAATTCCTGTTAAAAAAGTGGGATAAGAGGAGAAAAATAGAGAAATTCCGCCCAGTTTTTTTTATATACCTAAATGTATAAATATTTTTGTGTACTTAACAGATTTGAATGCATAATATTTTTTAAAGTAGTCCAAACTTCAAGTATTTTTTTTTTCTTGATTTAAATTAAAAATAACAATTGAAAATTTATACTTCTTAGTTTGGAAAACAAGATTAAAAACTTTTTAGTTTTGAAGAATTTTTATTTATTCTTTGTGTGAAAAAATAACCTAAAACTTTTTCTCTTATTTTATGAAAATTTAAATAAAATTTACAGAACAGTAAAGCGTAAATACAAAAATTACGGAACAATTAATTGTGCAAGCTAAAAATTTCGTACCTAAGCATTTTATACAGTAATGCCTCGCATAAATTCACCTCGAAATAGAAAAATTTGGTATATGATGCAAGTTTCAAAAGTTTTTAATACTAACTCTTCACTCTCTAAATTATTTAAATCTCTTTGAGAGTAATTTTTTTTGTAAAAACCAAAAATTTGAATTTTCTAACATAAAAATTAGACATGAATCTTCTTTTAAGTCATTTCGCTTAAACTCGTGAATTTTCGGTCTTTAAACGACTTTAAGCGAGAGATTGCTATATTTTTAATTATAAATTATGTTTTACTTATAAAATAATTTGATCGTTATAACAAAGAAAAACACTTAATTTGTAATTTCTAAAAAATGCCTAATCAAATTCATAAATAAAGGTCATTTGATTTGAACATTGAAAAAAAAAAAACATTTAATTTTTCCATTTCAATTAATAATGACCTACTTAAAAATTATAGTTATACACAATATTTTTTAAATTATTATTTTCAAACTTAATTTTGAATATCCCTTATAATAGTAAATGTGTCGAAAAGCGGCAATAAATGTTCTAACAGTAAATTGTTGACAATATAATAAAACCGATTACAACTCAATTTCAAAATTAATTTAATTCAATTTCAATATAACAATAAAATTTTCTTTAATTCACTAAACATTCATAATTACAAAAATGATTTGTCAACCATGACATTAATATTTTCGTGTTTCCATTTTAAAGAGATCATTTGTACTTTCTTCATGCAACACAATTAACTATGTGAAGTACTTTTAAAAAATAAAAATATTTTGATAAGTTGGCTTGTAAAGTAACGTAGTGTAATAGAGTAAAAAAAAATAAATTCGTATTTCGACCGAAATCTGCTGTTGCATCAATCAATTTTTGCAAACTGTTAACAGTCCTGGGTTTCTAAAACTTATCATTTTACAGAAAATAATGCAGAGACACATGAAACGGAAGGCTGAAACTAATAATCACTCTTTTCTAATTTTGTTGTAAAAAAGAAACAAAATACTACAAAATAAAATTTTTTGTGTCTTTTTTAATCTAAAAATTTTAATTAACAATATTGATGGTTTAATAGAAGGCAGAATTATTTAAAATATTTTAACTTTTATTAATTTCTTAATGAACAGCTGAACATTTCCCATTTAGTTGGCTAATCTTTTGCTTGTTTTCACATATTTTTTTTTTTTGTATTTTTTTACTCCATATATGCTTGGTTGTATAATGAGTCCTTTTTTTCTGATCTGACAAACTGCTGAATATAATTAAAGAACGTACATTTGGTTAAATTTTTTAATTAACTCCATTTTTTTCAAATTCAATTCATCTATTCGAGAACAATAACAAAAAAAAAAAGGGATAAATCATATTTTCTAGTTTTTCGTTCATATTTACAACAAAAACGTTAATTGATTCGAATATTGAAATTCGAATACCCAAATTGGCCTTTTTTGTGCCGCACAAGAAAAATTTCTTCTTATGTATGGCAAATCTTCTTTTTGAGCAGTAGGTTTTTTGTGTGTTTTCATCAATATTTTTTAAAAAAATATCACACAACTAAATCTATTTAATTGCCGAGAAGCTCAATTTTACTAAATTATCGATTGTCAATTAGAATGTTATAATTTGTAATCATAGGATAAACGATGTTTTAGTTTTTTTTATTAAAATACCACAAATGTTTTGATCTAATATTAAAAACTAACTTATACATGTTTTTATTGTCATACAAATTTAACTTTCATATAAATTTTTTTAATTGATAAAATTACATACATATATGTGCTTATATACATACTCGCTATATACATTAGAATATACATATATAAAATTTTCGCCTCAAATAATCAAATATAATGTGTATAATAAAACTAATAATTTGTTTTTTTTTTTTTTTCTCTATTTACAGGTTTATAAATAATTTTTGTTTTTGTTAACTAATATACATAATTCAAAATGAAAGAAACAGATCCAAATCAAATTTCGCCTGAAATATGGGAAAGCTGGATATTAGAAGCTATTGCGAAAATTCGTAGTCAAAAACAGCGTCCCAGTATACAAAGAATATGTCAAGCAATTGGTAGTCATCATAAATTTCATGAAGATATTGTTGCTGAAAAATTAGAAGAAGCTGTTAATTCAGGTGCTGTTATTAAAGTTTATAATAAAGGTTTACATTCATATAAAGCGCCAATGGCAAAACGTTTACTTAAAGTTGAAGCGAATTCAAACTTATGTAAAATTGTTTCAAAAGCTGTTTATGATTTAGGTGAATGTGAAGGTTCAACAATTAAAAGTATTGAAAATTATGTTGAAAAATTTAATAATATTGAATTAGCACCGGATGCTGATTTAAAAACTGTAATATCAAATTCGTTAAAGAAAGCTGTTTTAGCTGGTTATTTAATAATAGGTGAGAATAAAACATATAAAAAGGGTGCAAAATCATTAACATCACCAAGGAAACCAGCTAAAAAGAAAGAAGATAATGATAATACATCTGATCCAGTTATCGATGATAAATTAATATGTTCACAATGCTCTGGTAATGCATCACGTAATCAAAATGGTGTTTCAGAACCATTAAGTTGTTGTAGTAGTTGCGGTATGGCAATTCATACAACATGTGCTAATATTGCTGGAAAATGTCAGTCTCAAGTATTATTGTATATGTTAACTGTTAAAGGTACCAAATGGTATTGTCATAAATGCAGAGACTGTGATGGATGCAAAAAAGATATTAACGAAAAAGGCCCTTGTTTATTAGGCTGTTGTTTTTGTGAAAAAAATTTTCATTTAACATGTGCTAATCCAGTGCCTGATAAAAAGCCAAAGTGCCCATGGAGGTATAATAATATTTTGTAGAGTTGTTTAAATAATTAATTTTATAACTTTAATGTATATTTTTAGATGCAATTATTGCTTGCAACATCATGATAACGTTAAACAAAAAACTGGACGTAAAACTGTGAGTGAGGCAAATGCAGTTAGAAAGAAAATTACAAAAGCACGCGAACCAACAGCTGAGAAAAAAAAGAAGTAAGTGTAGTTATGACAACAACCTCATTATATACAATGTTGCACTTAAAAAAATTAAAAAATCTAAGAAATTTTATAGTTAAAATTAAATATAAATTTTTACATACAATTTTTTTTACAGAATATCTGAAGTATTTGCTTCTTTACCAAATTCATTACCAACATCATTTTCATCGCAAACTGCAACAGTCAATACTTCTTCAGTTGCTCCACAAGCTACTCCAAGTCATAATCGTCAAAAGTCACGTGTACCTCCAACTAATCTTTCGGATTCAGATACTGATGATGAAAATAACAAGAAACCTGTGGCTAATAGTGTCTATCAACAACAAAAAGTTATAGGTGATCGAAAGAAGACATCGCAATCACCGTTATTATTATCATCACAAGGAAGTAGTAATAGTAATAGTTTTCAAAATATGCCACAATCCGACAAAATGTCTAAAGAAAAGCAAAAATTTTTCCGCCATTCTGCATTTAATAGTGATCGTGTAGTTAATAAATTACCACCCACCAGTATAGCATCAACTAGTAAACATAGGGGTGGTAGTCGGGTAATAACAGTTGAAAAAGCTCGACAAAAAAATGAAAACCGTGTTAAAACTTTATCTGAAACATCATCTTCATGTAGCTCAAGCGAAAATGAAGAAGAAGAGGAAGAAGATGAAGAAGATGACAACGATTCTGATTCAACATCATCATCATGTTCCTCGAGTAGTTCTGATGGCTCTGATAGTTCCAGTTCAGATAGTGATGATTGCTCTTCGACATCAGATAGCGACGAAGACGATACGGATAAAACGGGATCTGAGGTTTCCGTGACAACTAAAGCAAAGTCTAGTAAATCAACGAAATTAAGGGGAGCAGCTGGATCTGGTACAGATTCTGCAACAAGTTTAAAGTCAAATTTATTTCAAACATTTGGACTAAACGTCAAAGATGAAAATTGGGGATTTGCAGCTGAAGCTAAGAAAAATGTAGATATATTTTCAAGTAACAGCAATAATGCGGGAAAATCACCGATAAATTCCTGTGATTCATTTAATGCGGCTAATAACAATAAAAGTTGTACAACTCCTACAAGTGCTAGTCCTAAAATGACTTCCCGCAGCAAAAAACAGAAAGATTCCCAATTGAAAGGTTTATTTGATGGCTTGTCTCACATGTTTACTACTTCAGACTATTCTAGGGCAAGTATAAAAAACAAAGAAAAAGAGAAAGCGACATCGCCAGCACAACTATCACCATCTTCAACAAGAAACTCGACGTCAACTCCAGAAACTGGAAAAAAAGAAATTCTCAAAGAAACTCGTAGTACATATAAAGATTATGAAAAACAAATTTTAGAACAAAAGCAACAACAGCCACAGAAGCAACAATTACAAAACCAATCACAACAACTGCAAAATCAATCTCAGCAAAAGCCTCAGCAACAACAAAATCAATCGCAGCCAAATCAAGAACATCAACCACCAGACCAACAATTAGCACAATATAAACAGTTAACAAATCAGCAACAACAACAAACGCAACCACAACTTGTTAGTAGAAAAAAAAAGTCAAATGTAGTTAACAACCAACAAAATATTGAATTAAGTGAAATTACTGAAGAAGAAAGACATTTAAATAAAGTAAAAACCTCAAAAAATATTCCAGATTCAAATGTATCATCGAATGTTTTTGTACCTTCCACAAATTTAAGTAATCGAACACCAATTTCGCTTCAACCGTTGAGTGTTCAAAATTCTCAAGCAAATGTAATCAGTACTAATAACTCAGTTAATTCCCAAGGCACTAGAAAACATGTTGTGGCTCTTACATCTTTACCGTTGGACAAAAAAGCAAAATCAGCGGCACGACACGATAGCGATGATGAGGTACCCTATTTATCAAAGAAAACAATACAAAAATCGCAACAACTTGAAGAAAAGTATGCAAGTGGTGTTAACCCGGAGTCTAAAGAAAATATAGCTTTTAGTACCGGGGGTTTTTCTAACTTTGACAATTCACAACAACTAGACTTTGCTACATTGAGTGAAAAAAGTAATCAAATAAACATTTTTGGAATGACGGCAATGAATGCTGCAATCGCGCCCTACAACAACAATGCTGTTATGGGTAAGAAAAATTTTTGGCTTGCATGTTTAAATACAGGTACAATACAGTTTTTTTTTTTGTAGAAAATCAACCTTTACCACCTGGAGTTAAGGAGCAAGATGTTGAAATGTATAAATTAATTCGAGAAAAGGCAGCCAAAGCTGTAGCTGAAATCATGAACCCTGGGGGTCGTTTAAACTTGGCAGTTCCTGGTTTAAATCCTACCCTTTTAAGCCCAACCTCGTTAGCAATTGTTGGTCAGGAAAGATGTCCTGCCGCAATTGAATTCGGAAAATGGGAAATAGAAACTTGGTATTCCAGCCCTTTTCCTCAGGAATATGCGAGGTGTGTACCGATGACTATAGAACATCATTGTACATATTTATATCTAACTTATTTAATTATTTTTAGATTGCCAAAATTGTTTCTTTGCGAATTTTGTTTGAAGTACACTAAGAGTAAAGCAGTTTTGGAAAGACATCAAGATAAGTGCTGCTGGAGGTACCCACCTGGCACTGAAATTTATCGCTGCCACGATTTATCGGTATTTGAAGTAGATGGAAATGTGAATAAAATTTATTGCCAAAACTTATGCCTTTTGGCTAAATTGTTTCTGGACCACAAAACATTATACTATGATGTTGAACCATTTTTGTTTTATGTTTTAACTAAAAACGATCGAAAAGGATGTCATTTGGTTGGATATTTTTCAAAAGAAAAACATTGTGCGCAAAAATACAACGTTTCTTGTATAATGACAATGCCTCAATATCAACGTCAAGGTTTTGGACGATTTTTAATCGACTTTAGTTATTTACTATCTCGTGAAGAAGGTCAAGCGGGTACTCCAGAAAAACCATTGTCCGATTTAGGAAGAGTTTCTTATCATGCTTATTGGAAATCGATAGTTTTAGAATATTTATACAAACATAAGGATGAAAAAATTTCTGTACGTGATATATCAAAGCAAACTGGACTAATGATAGCTGATATAGCATTAGCGTTTCAATTATTAAATTTTGTTAAAGTTATTAAACTAGAAGGAGATATTCGTTATCAAATTAATTTTGTTATTGATTGGCAAAAAGTAGATTCCCATCATGAAAAAGTATCAGCATCCAAAAATAGAATTCCAATTGATCCAGAATGTTTGCGATGGACTCCTTTATTAACAAACAATATAATATTAAATTCACTTATTAAAAGTACTAGTACAAGTTCTGAAGATGAAAGTTTTAACGAAAAAATGCAATTAAACAACAATAACCAAATTTTAGTAAACGATATGAAAATTACCAATATTTCAAATAATAAAATTAAAAATCCGAAACAAAATCAGCAAATATTTAGCACACCAAATATAAAAAAACAATCAAAACAAACCAAATTAGAAAAGTTTATGGAAAATAAAACCAATAAGTCTGATGAAAAATTATTTAATAATAAAAATGAAAACTGTTTAATTGCGAATAACAAAACTGAATTAATGTCTATGTCAAAAACCTCAACAAAAGCCAAAGAAAACATTGCAAAGTTCGGAAAACCAAAAGATAGTCTCAATAAGAATATGTTAGGGTTATGCGATAATGTCCCTAATAACAAAGCAAAAAAATTAAAGGACTCGCTACAAAGAAATGTGTGTTTGGGAGAACTAAAAGATAATAGCAAAATAAGCCAAATAGAAGAAAATGTGGAAAATGTAGAATATAAAAAAAGAAGACTATCTAGAGCGAAATCTGTAGCGCCGGAGATAATGGGTAGATATAATTCTTCCGATTATTCTTCAGACTCTCCAAATGTGGACACCCAAGATTCAGTGATTTCTCCTAACACCTTACTGGAAAGACGAAAATCTCTAACAGGGTATGCACTACGAACGAATTCAGAAGCAAGTTCAAAACGAGAGTCGGAATTTCTTTCAAAGGAGAAGAGAAAATCTACAGCAGTTCGCGAGATACGCTTACTAAATGATATAACAGAAAAAAATAGTTGTGTTAAAACAAAGATATCAGCAACAAGACAAAGAAGAAAATCATTTAGTGCGAACTTGATCTACAACAAAGAATTAGTTAAAGAACAACTATCAGAAAAAGAGTGTGCAAAGGTACAGAAAACAAAGCATAGAAAAGAATCAAAGTACGAGTGTCATGAACAAGAAACCATACGTCATCACAATGTAGAAACGTTCGGGGAAAATAAAAATAATGAAAATCAAAATCAGTGCGAATCAAAATCGCTGAAAGATAGAAGGAAGTCTATTTATTCTCCAACGGCCATTGACGAGGAGGAAACCCATATACCAACTTTAAGTGAAAGACGGGCTAAAAAAAGTATGTTGCAAGAACAGCAGCAGCAATATTCTGACGCAGTTATGTCGCAACATAACAGATCAAGTAAAAGCAAACGCAAGTCGCCAAATTTAAGAGTCTCAAGTCACCAAAGCCAATCTCAAGAAGATAGAATAATTGAAACAACCTCGTCAGGCCGAAAGCGAGTTCGACCAATGAAATTCGAAGAAACGACATATTCTGATTTGAGAACACACAGATCGATTGAAACAACAAAGTTCCATGATGATGCAAAAAAATCTATTGAAGAGTCGAATCCGTTAATCTCAAGAAATCAAAAACGTAAGCGCGGCAGTTCAATGGGTAATTCTTTAAATGATAATAATTTAAATAAAGAAGATGAAGAGCAACTGATTCCGCCTATGAAGAAACATGCATCCGAAGTGAATTCTGATTTATCACCGATCCCGAAACAGAAGAAATTCAGTCGTCGCAGTAATTTGGAAATTCTTACTTCTGACGCTTTTATGATGGCAACTTCGACCCCTCTAAGAAGTATGAGACAGAGGACATCGATTGCATCGACAGAAATAGTTGCAGCAACAGTAGAAGCCACTAGCACTCCCGAAAATAACATAGGTAGCGGTAATCGCAAATCTCTCAGAAGTTCAGTCGTTAATAACAATAATAATAACAATAATAATAATAATAATAATAACAATAACAATAATGATAACATTAATAATTACAATAATAATGACAATAACAATTATAATAATAATAACAACAATAACAACAACAATAATAGAAATATCAATATTCATAATAATAATATTAACGATAATAATAACAACAATAATAATAATAATGACAATAATGATAATAATAATAGCCTTAATGATGATAGTATTAATAATAATAATAATAATAATAATAATAATAATAATAATGATAATAATAATGTCAATAATAATGATGTTAATAATAGAAATAACCAAAATATTAATAATGATAGTGACAATAATAATATTAATAATGATAATAATAATATTAATAATGATAATGATAATAATAACAATAATAATAATAATATTAATAATATTAATAATAATAATGGTGATGATAATAATAATATAAATAATAATAATAATAATAATAACAATAATAATAATACTAATGATAATATTAGTAATAGTAATGTTAATACTCTCAACAATCTCAATAATAATAGCGGTAATAATAGTAATAATAATAACAACAGTAACAATAATAATAATTCCGTTAATAACATCAGCAATATTGACAATAGTAATAATAATAATAATAATAATAATAATAATAATAATAATAATAATAATAATAATAATAATAATAATAATAATAATAATAATAATAATAATAATAATAATAATAATGGAAATAATGACAATAATAATATTAGTGATGTCAACAGCAGTAACAATAATATAAATATAATTACCAGTAATCATAGTAACAATAATAACAATAGTAATAATACAAATACTCTTGACTCGGAAGAAAATCAACCTGAAACTTCTTCTTTGGAAGTTACAACGGGATCATCCCGAATGAATATGCGTTCTAGGCGCTTGGCGACTCGTCAAAATTCTCAACCAATACAAGAAAAGATCGAAACAAGATTGGGTTCGTTACCTACACGAAATGTTGAATCTCCTAATCCCACAGCAAGCGGGACAGTTAGGAGAGAATCGGTCCGCAGGAAGGGAGTGCAAAAAATTTCAGACTCAGTAACTAGCGAAATGTTAGAAGGAAGTGAAAACAAGAATGAAACAAAATGTGATGTAAACAAAATTGTTCTCTCTATTGCTAAAAAAGAACCTGTAGTAGTTTTAAAAGATCTTTCTCCATCTCTAGCGAAACGTGATAATACAAACAAAAAAGGTTTAACAACAGCTGGTAGCGATTCTTTAGCTACAACAAACATTGTATCGAAAAAGGTCGCTGCAGCAAACGCGCATCGTAAGAAAGAAGAAAATGCTTTGCAAAAACAAGGAACGGATAGTAAGAAAGAAGAACTCCTAACCGCACCCCTACCTATGAAAAAAGAAATTTCAAGTGCCTTAAGTAGTGGTGAAAATTTGCCTTCGCCTTCTGTGAATATAACAAATAAAAGAAAACGTTTTGTAGAACAGCACCGAAACCGATCTTCAAATCGTCTTGCTGCCGCAGCAGCAGCCGCGGCTTCAAACACTATTTCATCAGAAGATGATAATCACGATTCGCAAACGTCACCGTCACCTTTAATATCATCAGCTCCTAAAAAGCAGGCAACAATTCGAGAATTATTTGGAAAAAGTGTATTTTCTAAAAACGAATCTGTTAATCTACCTGAAACGCAAAAGGAAGGAGAAAAATCTGAGGAAATAAGTTTAGATACAGAAGAATCCAATAACGCGGATGAAAATGTTTTAAAAGAAAGTAAATCTCAACCAGCGGTCAGTAGTACTCTCACTTGCGAAGCAGTTCAAAAAAGTGTTGAACAATCCTCTGTAGATGCGCCAATAACCACGTCTAATTCGAATATAAAATCAGAAAAACCAATTAACACTGCTCCAAAATTAAGGGGTAAAAAGGCATCAAATCAGAGATTGGACCTAGTTCAAGTTGATATACCAATCATAAATAACTCTTTAAATCAAACAGAGTCACAGTCTGAAGAACAAATGCATCAACTTGAAAATAAACTTCAACAGAGTGAAGTCTCGGTATGCCAAGACAATGATTCTAGTTCAGTTTCAATTGATGAAACCGACAAAAGCGACAAAAATGATTGTAAGGCTGCATTATCAAGCTCAGAAATAATATTTACCTCCCCAACAAAATCTATGTTGGGTATCACTTCAGAAACAGCTGATAATAAGGTGTTAGAAGCGGTAGCTAAGAAAACCAAAAAATCTATGATCAGTAATGCACTAAGAAGTAGCACAACAAATTTCGGAAATATTCCACAACAACAAAACTCAAATCAAATACAAAGTTCTTCTCAAAATAAAGTGGATATTAAACATGAATCTCAAGATAAAAACGACAAGCCTATTGTGTGGGAGAAATTCATACCCCCAATATCCCCAGAAAAGATTGTTTCTAATAACAAACCTAAAGCAGATAACGAGGAACCAAATGTAGGAAAAAGTACAGACAAAATGGATTTCAATGTTGAGACAAAGTCAATAGATAATGAAAGTTGTGCTGAGAATAGAACACCAACCACGATGTCTGATGGTGTTTTGAAAATTAATGACAAATTAATAAACAAAAATAATTTACAAGAATCTCAGATCAAAGATTCCACAGAGGAAACAAGTAAAGTCCCCCAACAAAAAAATTCAAATAATGAACAACATAATCGTCCAAATGTTATCATTGATACTCAATGTTCGAATTCGTCAAAGCAACAATTAAATGAGGAAAATCAAATTTACAATAAAGATAATAATTTTTATAACCGAAATATTCAAGAAATACAAAAGATAGATTTAACGAAAACTGATTCTGGGGATTCTAGAGATTCTGTAGAATGTAACGGTGTTATGTCAAAACCAATTTCGCCAACAAAAGTACAAGATAATACGAAAGAAAATAATAGTAAAAAACAAATTCATGAAACTGTTCCAAAAAACGAGACAAGTGCTGCCAAACCGCTAATGATGGCAGAAGAAATGAGAACTTCACAGTCCAGAAGCGGCGAGGGCAGCAGCAGCAACAACATCAGCAACAATACCAACAACAACATGAACAACATCATGAACAACAACATGAACAACAACACAAACAACAACACAAACAACAACAAAAACAACAACAGCACAACCAGCAGCAACAACAACAGAAATACTCACAACAACACAATAAACAACTCGAGCAGCAAGGCCAACAACTCCGCAAGCAACAATGGCAGCAGCAACATCGGGAACAACAGTTGCAGCAACAACAACAACAACAACAGCAATCACAATGCGAAAAGTGGCAGCAACCCACCCAGCGAATCCAACAACAACGTGAGCATTGGCAACAACCCCAGCAACAGCAACTACAATATGAACAACAGCAATGTAAACAGCAACAATCTCAATCACAACAAGGGGATCAATGTGACAAACAGCAACAACAATTATTGCAATACGAGCAGCAGCAGCAGTACGAACAACAACAAAAACAACAACAATTCATGCTCCAACAATACCAGCAAAATACCAGAGCAACCTATGGAACTTTCAAAATCAAACGATGCGTCGTCGTTGTCGACAGAATCATTTGACGTCAACAAACTACAAGGTATAAAAAATGAAGCAAAATCTAACAGTGAAAACAGTTCGGTTATTAAAGTAGTTCAAAACGATATGGCAATATCGATTCCGACAAAAACTAATACTGACGAATGCAATATTTTAGATCAAAACGATAACAAAGATTCATCATCATCCAGCAAAAATTCATTTACTGAATCAAATAATCACTCGATTAAGAGTACGTCAAATAGTAATTCGCAAAACTCGCAGCAAATACACTTAACAAAATCTCATCAAACGGTCAATTCCAAACCAGAAATTGAAATACCTGAAATAGACCTTACTAAAACTAGTGACTGTGATATTCAAGATATTGCATCAAATTTAGATGATGACGACGTTCAAGAAATAGAAAGTAAAAACATTCAACAAACGCAACCATCACAGCAATTTCATCAGACTCAACAGTTTCAACAACAACAACTCCCTTTTAATCCATTGAATTTACAACCAACATCTTGTGCATTTGAGGCTAAACAACAACAATTAATGTTGCAAATGCAAATGCAGCTGCAGCAGCAAGAGTTAGAAAAGAAAAACGCGGAATCAATATTCAAAAAACAACAACAGCTTTTGCAGCAGCAATCAACCGATAGTAAGAAAACTGAAAATGCCAATAAAAATTTATTACATTCGTCTTCATCAAATCCTGGGATGTCTAAATTATCAAATCATGGCAGTGGTTCCAACAATAATGTTTCTAATTCTAACATAATATCACATTCTGATCAGTTAAAGAAGTTGTCTAATAGCACAAATTATTCAACTAGTTCTGGTAACAGTTCAAGTTTAAAACAATCCGAACACTCACTTTTATCCTCCTCCTTAGCTTCCGGTAAACAACAAAGTTCTCACAACTCTGCTATTGGTTCGAATAACACGAGTTCTGTCACATCAGGTACTGGTTCAGTAGGAGCTGCTCGTCATGAAAAATATCAATCAAAAAACATTCAAAATTCTTCATCAAACCTCGAAAATCCATTTAACCAACAAAAACATGCAATTCAACAGCAACATCATCAGCAACAACAACAACAACAGCAGCAACAACAACAGCAACAACAGCAGCAACAACAAATGGTTATGGATTTAAATAAAATTGCCCCACAGTTTGCCGCTATGAATCATTTACCAAATTATCATACAACAGCCCAATATTGGCAATGGGAAAGTTACTATCAATCATACAATTTTCCAAATTTGGATACGGGTGGTTCAAAACAAACTCACAAAAATTTGCACAAAGATTTGGCCACTTCAATGGCTTATAATAATTTCCAAAATCTCTACACGGCTCAAATGCAACAACAACAGATGCATAACATGCAACAAGTGGCAAGTGTCCAACAACAACAACAACAAGCACAACAGCAAATGCAAATGCAACAACAACAAACACTCAAAGATAAATTACAAAAAACTGAACGTAAAATAAATTCTATGAATTCTGATGTAAATAAACAAAACAATAACAATAATGTTAAAAAAGAACAAGAAAAATCGAGAGAATTATCTTGCAATTTTTCCAAACAGCAACAACAGCAACATCAGCATCATCAGTTCAATCAATTTTCTAATAAGCAGAATAATTCATCTAATAATCAAAATATTAATAAGAGTCAAAAAAACAACAACGTTGACCAAAACCAACATAAGCAGTCCACGAGTTCTTCCAGTGCAAGTTCTATGCAACATATGACTAATTCTTCGATGCATCAAAATAATCAAAGTAATATAAATATAATTACTAGTCAATTAAGTCAGCAACAGCAAAATTTGCTCTCTGCCAGCAAATCGAATAATTCAAATAATTCTTCCGAAAGAAACAGTGGGGGTCAAAACTCACAACAATCATCGGAGCAAATGTCGGGTAACTCTACACCAAACTTAGACCTTAAACACACTCCTCCATCATCATCTTCTGAAATGCAATCTATGGGCGTCTACACTCCAGATTCTACGACAAATTCTGTTCATAGTTTACACCATTACAATCAGTGCGATCTTGATGTAGCGCAATTAGGGTTGGAATCACCCGCTAGCATAGCTTCGGATATAACGTCACAAAATTCCGTAGAAAACGTTAGACCACCTAGCGTTCAAATACATCAGCAATTTTCAGATTGTTCTATGCAGCAGAATCAAGGCAGTACCGGTTCTATACATATGAACATTCAGCAACAAAATCATGCAAATGTGATGAACGTCCCTACATCAAGTTCACAAAATATGAACCTAATGAATGTGTCCAATAATATGCAACAACAACAAAATCAACAGAGTAGAAAATTATCGCAACAGGTATCCCGATTTTGCAGCAAAAATTTTTGAAATAAATTACATTCTTGTTAATTTTTTGTAGGTTCGTGGTGGGTCAGCAAGCTCTCAACAAAGGTCAACAACACCAAAAATGAGTCGGGCTTCAAACAATGGGAACAGTGGTTCAAACAATGCACAAAACCAGCAACAACAACGTCAAAGAAGTGCAACTCCAGCAACAAATCAAATGACTAGTCCAAGTCAAACCATGCAACTTGCGGCCCAACAACAACAGCAACAGCAAAATTTATTAAATCAAAATTTACAGAATATGCAACAGCACATGCAACAATATGGTCATTTATCTGGGACTATCTCTTCACATGGTCATCATCACCAAAATATGCAGACAGACTACCTAATGGGACAGGGCTATAACTCCAACTCGCCAAATTCTTATAGCCCATCTCAAATGGCATCAGTCATACAGCATAGAATGTCTTCAAATAATAATAATGGAAATTCAGGGAATTCAGGAAGTTCTAATTCATTAACAGCACAACATCCGCTATCTAGTCCACATCATCAAAGGTTAGGTACTTCACCATCTTCATGTGCAGTATCTTCTGCAGCAGCCGCTGCTGCATGCGCTGCTGTACAAGCTGCAAACAATTTTTACCTGGGAAATAGTGGTCATCCAGCTCAATCACAAACTCCAATTCCATCTATGGCAAGTTCAACGCCTACACCATCTGTTACGCCTACATTACAACAAATGAATGCCGTGGCAACCGCAGCCGCGATAGCTGCATTGCAAGGAGGAGGACAATCAAATACAAATGGTGCCGGTGGAAGTAATCAAGGAGCTAGTAATAACAGTCAAGGGGGAGGAGGAGGAGGTGCAACTACAGGAGGAGGATCCGCTTTACTTGGTAATATGTGTAGTCTTTCAAAATTACAACAATTAACAAGTGGCTTGGATGTTCAACCATGTAATACACCACCAGGTTCTACAGGTAGTGGAAGTGGATTAGTTTCAAATTTGACGCCATCTCCAAATCATCATCCGCATGTAACAATGACACCACCACCCTCAATGCATTTGGGTTCTTCTTCATCATCAGGTGGTAGCGCATCATCATTAGGACATCATCAACAACGTCAGCTGACAACACCCCCAGCAAGTGGTACATCACCTTCATCAGCTGCCGCAGCTGCCTTACAAATGCAACATTATCAAAAATATTATGCTGGAAATATGAATATGGGTCCAACATTAGCACAATTATCACAAAATGCAAGCCGTACAGCACGTAATACACCATCAGCTCCAGTTCAACATATGACTTCAACAGGAAGCTCTAGCATTGCTCCAACATCTCGTAGTCCAAATGTTGCATTAAGTACAAATTTAATGTCACCGTATGGTACTCTAAATGGTTATCGTATGACAACACAACAAACGCCAGCTGGTTACATTACAAATCCTGCTGCAGCTGCAGCTAGTTTTATTAATAATCCAGCTGCACAAATACCTGTTCAAATGGGTGTTATGAATATGCAATCACAATATCAAGATCCAACTGCGATACAAAGAGCAGCACAACAAAATTCTATGTATTCTGGTTATCCACCATATATATCAATGGGACGTAGATAGGATAGATGAGTTGTTAAGAGAGAGGAAGAATAAATTTGGAAATTAATATGCATATAAAAAATATATATGAAATCATAAAAAAAATCATAAAAAATTATGAATAAAAAAGAATGTCCAAATTTATTCTTTACTCTTCACTTAACAACTAGTAAATAAAAATAAGAATAAATCAAACAAATATAATACATATATACAATGTATAATAAAAAAAAAAAAACTAGTTCTAATTAAATAAGCCACAAATGAAAAACTAAAATAAAATTATATTTTTTTAGAAATCAAAGTAAGAAAAAAACTGTTTTTGTAAGTAATTTTTTTATTTTTTTGTTTGGCTATTATATATATGTAGACCCAATTAGATGGATTATATAATATAGAAATATATAATATATATATATATGTATATAAATATGCCTGCGTAAATTCAATAAAATATGTATATATTCAATGTAATATGTAAGGTTCTTTTAAAGACCTTAACTCATATATAATTATGTATGTATATAGTTGAAATTTTGATCTGATCAAAAGAAATTTAAATATTCTAAATTTGTGTAAAACTAAAAATAAAATTTAGTTTCTTCATTCTACATCATTTAGTTATATGTTAATTGGATTAATGTTAACGTCATTTAATTTAATTATTTTTTTTTTAATTTACATTATTATATAGCTGTATTTTTAATTTTTTCTACAAATAAGAACGTTTCATGGATGTAATGTCAAAATTATATTTTTTATATTCTAATTTATATTATAAAAATACTGTTTAGTTTATTTATTGAAAATATGAGAGAAAACAAATTTAAAAAACAACACAATTTTATTATATTTTTAAGTAAATCATAAGATGTCCAAAAACGTTGCTAGTTGTATTTTCGAACAAAATAATTAAAATGTCCTTCTGCAGTGCAGATAAAATTCATTTGAAAGCATGATTAAAATTTGACAAATTTGACATAAAAACAAAAAAAAACAACGTAATTATTTTCAACTGATAAGAAATTAATCCTTTTTTGGAGCACTATTTGTTTGTTTAAGTTTGTTTCAAAATAAAAAATTTTTATATATAAATATTTATATTTTTTTTTTCTTTAATTTAAAATGAAAAATACATAATATAAATATTGAAATTTTTATTTCAATTTAAAAATAATTTTGCATTATACTTTAATTGTAATGTTAAAAGTTTCAGCTGTTTTAAGTGTTTGTAAACTAATGAATATATTCCAGTAAAAAAAAAACATATACATAGAAGAAGGTGATAAAAATATACTTATCATTTTTTCTTAAAATTTTTTTATATGTTTTAAGTCGATATTTTCATGAACACATGTATGTATGTATATTAAAATTATAATAGCCAAAAAATTTTAAATTGAGTTAAATATTTTTTATTTAAAAGAATATTAGAAAACTGACTAAAGAATTAGAAAGAATTACAATAAAAGTAGTCATTACATTATATAATAATCAAAGAAAATAATACATACAAATAAATAATAAAAATAATTAAAAATTATAAAAATATTTTAATGAAAAATATTGTAAAATTTATATTGAGTTTTCGAATAAATTATACAAAATAATACAAATTTCGTGTATGTATATATATATATATATATATATATATATATATACATACACGAAATTTTCACTTTTTTTCTGTTAAGCTTTAGTTATTCTTGTTGAAATAATGTTTTCTAATTAATAAAATAAAAATAGACGGAATTCTATTTGGTATAGTAAAAATGATTAATAATGTAGTTTCACAATTTGATTTTTATTTGAAATTCTTCAATACAGAATAATTCACTTTACTTTAAAGAGTAAGAAATTAAAATTTTTCTCTACATTTTTTTCACATGATAATGTATAAGATTGTGGGTTAGGCATTTTCTATTTTTAATATAAAAATATATACATAATTATATAATTTATTTCGCTTCTTATTTCTAAAAATAAAAATATTTCACAATATTTTATATAATTTGTTTAATTTTTCAGAGAAAAAGAAAATTAAAATAAAATAATTTAAAATTATTTTTCTTTTTTTATTTTGCTTCATTTTTAAAAATATATGTATGTAAATAAAATTATAAGAAAAAGTGAAATTATGAGGAAAATATTGAAAAACAATTTTTTATTTCATATCTTTTAAATGTAAATATTAATTAAAATTAAATCTTATAAATTAAAAAAAAAAATATCACATAAAATATAAAATAGGTAATATAAAAGATATGTAAAAAGTTATTCAATAACAAGAAAAATATATATATACATATAACTATAATATATTCATGATAAATTTTGTTGAAAGTAAAAAAAAAAAAAAAAAAAAAATAATTAATTGAGAAATAAAAGTATAAAAATTGAATTAAAAATTTAATAAATAAAAACTTATTCATAACAATTAATAATAAAAGATATCGATAAAACAAATCTATTTTAATAAAACCATTTATATAAAAAATTATTTATAAAAAAAAAAAAAAATCAAAAATTAAAAAATAAATGAAATGAAATAAAGTTAAAGTTTATGTTAGATTTAGAATAAATAGTATTACAGTGTTTTGGTTAAAAAAAATATATAAATAATATTATATATATTATATAACAATATAGATAAATGAATAATTTCAATTTTAAATAGATTTTTTAATTTTTATATTTTTCTTAATTTTCATGCACATTCTTATGTTTTATATTTCTTTTAACGTTATTTTTATATTTTATATTATCCAAAATGTGAAAGTTTCCATCGTCTATTGTTAAAAAATTTTTATTTGTAATTATTTTTATTATTATTAATATGATTATAATAAATAGTATTATTGTTATTATTAATATTTTTATTATTATTAATTTATTATTATTATTTTTTATTACTCTTATTGTTATTTTGATTATTAATATTATGATTATTGTTATTATTACAATTATTTGTCATTATTAATTAATATTATTATTATTATTATTATTATTATTATTATTATTATTATTATCATTATTATTTCTGTAAGAAATTTATATTATTATTTGTTGATTACGCCCAGTAAAGATATGAATTAATTATCAAAGAAATAAAGTTGTTTATTTGTTGCAATTCTAGTGCTTTATACCGTAACTTTCCTCTATACTTTTCATACGTAAACTTTTCCTACTATTTCTATGTTTAGTCACCTAAAAAAATTTTGTTTTTTAAAATTATTTCACAAAATATTTATAAATTATAAATAAGCTAAACTAAAATAAATAGGGATATACTCACCTATATCAATTTCAACAAACAAAAAATTGTAATAAATAAAAAATAAATTTCCTGCAATCATATCAAAAATTTTCACATTGTTGCAGCATAAAATTTTTTACATAAAAAAAAATTTGGTAATTTTGTATTGCTTTAACACAATTTATTTATTTATTATTGCTTTAATGATACATTATTATAATCACTAGATTGATTAAAATTTTCGGATTAGTGATCATGTACAATTAGATAAGACTAGTTCGAAAAATAAGTTTTTGCAGTTGTATCATTGAGAATTATTGGATGTGGCGATTATTTAAGAGGTTTTCATCTTATGCATATTTCGTTTTTACTATGTTCATCCCCATTATGAAAAATGTTAACAAACGAAATTTATATTGACATTAGATACATAGATTGAAAATTAGCTGAATTAACTTCATTATTTAAAGGGTTAACTCGCGTCTATAGCAACTTTAATTTAAATAGGATTAACACTCTTTGGAAGTAATTTTCTTTATTCTATTTTTGGTAAGTACTTAGTTGTGGAAACTCTGGTCCCTATGAAATTGTTAATAAGTAATAATACTTTAGAATATATATAAAGATGAAATATATAGGTTTACTCTTTACATATAGATGAAAATTCTTTATAAAGTGGTTTTTTCAAAATATGTACATAATCAATTTAACTATGTATGTTTTTTTTTAAACAGCTTTTCATTCAAAAAGAATTTCTCAACTAGCTCTGATTCGAATTTCATGTTAAGTATGCTAGGGCCCATAACTTTTATGATTTTTCATGAAATTTTCATAATCACAACTCATATTTCTTGTAAAATTTTTTTAAGAAATTAATTTTATTTTTCTTATTTTTTTTAATAAATTTAAATTAATTTATATGATCAAATGTTTAGTTGTAAGTCATGTATCGTGGTGTCGCACTGAATTTCGCATAGCTCTTAATAACCTTATTAACAGCCTCAAGGAAATCTTTTTCGGTTGCAACTTTACGTCTTGCCCGTATAGCAAACATACCTGCTTCAGTACATACAGACCTAAAATATACTTTGTTTTGCAAAAGCGCTCATATAATTTGATAATTTTACCTTATTTCTGCGCCAGTTGAATTTGGACACAAACGAGCTAGTAATTCAAAACGTATATCTCTTTCAACTGACATTGATCTAGCATGAATTTTAAATATGTGAGTACGACCTTCTAAATCAGGTAAACCAAATTCAACTTTTCTATCTAAACGTCCAGGCCGCATTAAAGCAGGATCTAATGTATCAGGGCGGTTTGTAGCCATGAGGACCTTTAAACAAATTTTGTTAATTTTTTTAAATTTAATCTAGATATTGTCTTAATTCACTTTAATGTTGCCACGAGGATCAAATCCGTCTAACTGATTAATTAATTCCAGCATTGTCCTTTGCACTTCATTATCTCCTCCAGCTCCATCATCAAAACGTGCTCCACCAATAGCATCTATTTCATCAAAAAATATAAGACAAGCTTTTTTTGAACGTGCCATTTCGAAAAGCTCTCTAACCATACGAGCACCCTCTCCAACATATTTCTGTACTAATTCTGAACCGATAACTCGAATGAAACAAGCATCAGTTCTATTTGCCACCGCTCGAGCACATAAAGTTTTACCAGTTCCCGGTGGACCAAACAACAGAACACCTTTTGGCGGTTCTATGCCTAAATTCACAAATTTTTCAGGCTAAAAATTTTTGATATTATATAAATTATTTTTCCCATAAATTTTAGATAAAATTTTACATGTAGAAGAGGAGTTTCGACAACCTCCCTTAACTTTTCTATTTGCTCTTTACATCCACCTACATCACTATATGTAACATCTGGCTTATCTTCAACTTGCATCATTGTTACTGTGGGATCTATCTTAGGCGGTAAAGGAATATGAATTTGATATTTATTACGATCGACTCTATAAACAAATTTTTTTTAAGTAAAAATAAATCATCATAAATTTAAAAAACTGACCCTACTCTCATTCCTTCCTCAATATCCGTAGGAGCCACCGAATCAGCCAAATCTACAACGAATTTTGCGAATTGCTTAACGTTGATAATATACTTGGGATCATCTGAATCGGCATTAATTATTTTAGTGCATCTTGCAACTTGCAATGGTTGTTCGTTTTGTAATGTTTGTTTATCAGCTGCTAAATCCCATAGGGCTGGTGCTGCTAATCCTGTGTCACTTTCTTTAATGCCTGTCAATTCATTGACCTGTTTTATGGTTTTCTGAATATCATCTTCAATAACTTTTATTTGTTTTGTATATTGTGTTTGGCCCTTATTTAAAAAAAATTGAGGTTATGCGAATGAACAATTTAAGTTTATGAACAATACTTACATATGTTTTCAAAATGGCTATATCACCCTCATCCAGAGCTACAGAACAATTATAAAAATTTAATTACTTTTTTTCCAACACTTTTAAGCACTACCTTTAATTTCTTTTTCCTCTTCCTCTTCTCCTTTTTTTACTTTCCTTTGATCATCACCTAAATAGTCTGGCATCTTTATTTATTATTTTATTCCTTTTACAATTTTATTGAACTCTTTAAAAACTTATATTTTTATTGAAATTCTTCGAAGAAATGATTTTGCAAAATCCGAAACAAACGTCAAATTTAGATTTTGACAATCAGTAAACCAATACGACATTTTCTAAGTAGGGTTGAAATATTATAGCAATTGGAAGGCACAATTAAGAATATTCACAATTACTTTCTTTAGTACCATCCTTAAAATAAAATGATATCAACCTTTACAATCCAAATAAAATTAATGCTTTTTCCGTTTCTATTTCCCCATTGAAATTAGTTTTTGTGCCAAATAAAATATCAAATAGTATATAAAGGGGTTTCAGCTTATAAATACATACATAAATGATTTTCCCTCTTCATTCACAAGATTAATTCTTAGCAACTTGATTAAAAAATAATTGAGTTATTTTTTGACAACATTAAAGTGTGTTACTTCGAGATATGGCGGCTGCGCGTATATTGTGCAGATTGAATATTATTTGAACTCGACTTGAGTTTGACATAAGCTAACAAGCTAGAACTACTATGCAGTAATTTCAAATAAAATAAATCATAAACAGAAGTAAAATTGTTAAAAAATTTGTTAACTTAAAAGAAAAGAGCTTCAATAATTTATAAAACACACGCGGAAAATTGATTAGAATGTACGATAAAAACTAAAAATTTTTTGGAAACTAGTAGGACAAGGCATTTCAAATTTTATTATTTTCCTTTTTATATATTGGAACTTTAAATTTTTCCACCGAACGTCTATTTGTTTTGAATTCTTGAATTGAAAGCTTATTTTCTTGCCATCTTTCCCTAAGAACAAATTTCCGATTTTTTGTATTTTTTTCCATTTTAAATGTTCATTTTAGTTTTAATAATATAAATGTTACTTACACAAAATTGAATGTTAAAAACTAGCAGCATCTATTTTAAAAATTTGAATTTTGACATTATATATTAATTTGTCATTTTCTCTATGCGTATATGAAGTCAATTTTCAAGTCAAGCTAATAATTTTATCGGATCGACTCGACTTGAAAATTTGAGTTAAGTAGCGTTTATATGAGCTCCATCATTATAAATCTACTTGAAGTCGACTATAAGTAAAAATTAATACGACTTGTCAAAAAGTAAAATAATAATTTTCCCACGGTGACCATTTGTTTTCTTTTTTTTTAATTTGTCTCCTTATTTGGCAGCTCAATACCTTAATAGGGTTCGGACTCTTTTTAAATATTTTTTTATTTGGCCAAGGAACATTGTAGATAATTTACCATGTTATAAAAAACAGGTATAATTTTTTTTTGTGAGAATTGTATGAATCGACTTTTTATTATTGATTTGTATGAGGGTCTGAATACTTACTTGCCCAATTCTTTTATACCCTCCACCTTCGCGAAGGGTATATTCACATTGGTATTGAGTTTGTAACCACTTGAAGGAGTCGTCTCCGATATGGACATGTATATGTATATATTTTTGCTCAGCGTTAAATTCTGCGATTTAAATACATACATATGTCTGTCCGATCACACCATAACTTAAAAACGAATAATGCAATTGACACCATATTTTCAAAAGTTGTTTCTTTTATGCCAACAACGACTGCTATTATAATTTAAAAAATTTGAACAACGGGTTCGGGTAGCTGCCATACAACTAAATAAAGTTTTTTTAAATATTTCAAAAACTAATAAAGATTTTAATATAAAATTTAAAATATAAAAGGTCTGTCCAATTACATTCTTCATATATTCTAAAAATTTTCTCACTGTTCATTTTTAATATTTGAAAAAATAATAAAGCTAGATTCATGAAACTCGGCAGTCGTCTGTCCAATTTCAGGTCAGAGATAACCCTGAAGTTTTAGTGGAATGACTTAACAGATTTGGGTAGCTACCATAGAACTCCAAAAGCTAATTTAAAATATTCACGAAAATTACTTTTAGAAATTTGGAAATCGTGTGTCCAATTATAGGTCAGATATATCCCAGAAGTTTTGATGGAATGACATGACAGGTTCGGGTAGCTCTCATACAACTACAAAAGAAAATTTTAAATATTTTCTAAATAAGCTAGATTCATGGAACTTGGCAGATGTGTGTTTAATTATAGGTCAGACATAATATCCGTGAATTTTCTTTAGAGTGGTTTGACAGGTTTGAGTAATTTCCATTTAAAATGAAAGCTAATTTTAGATACTTGTATGTATGTATTTCAAAAACAAATTTTCAAGGTAGTGAAACGTTTTTACTTGTTTTGTATTGTGTTTAACAGTAAATTTTAAAATTAATTTATTGTTACCCAACATATTTCTGTTATACTTACTTTTGCTTTTAATTATAAATACATATGTAATTATTATATCTAATATATAAAGTTACATAAATATATATAATTTTATATAAATAAATATATAAAATTACATTATCCAAACTAATATAAAAAAAATTAGTTTGGCAATTAAAAATTTCCTATATTGCTTAATCAATACAACATTAACAGAAAAACATGTAAATGACGCTACTAACAGAACAAACAAACAGTGGTAATAAAATTTAGAATATCTCACTTAATAAAAACTTGAAAAAGAATTGAGTAATATTTTATAGAGTGATTTAAAGTTAATTTAATTCTTCAAAAATGCTTTAGTATTTAAGTATCGTTTTATTTCTTTTTTAATTTTTATCGACTTTCTATTGGTTTGCAATTACTGTTATATTGTGACGGGAAAAAAAAGCGTCCTAATATAATGAATTTTATTGCTGTCAAATGGAAAATCACACATTATTAAATATGAAATATTCATGTATGTATGTATGAATTCAATTCTCTCGTATGAATGTACTTTTCCTTGTCATTACCATATACAAGATTTATTTAAATTTATTAGATTTATTAGATTAAATATTATCAATTTATTTAAAATTTATTAGATATTATGTATTTTGTATATAAAGCAATGAAATGTACATAATTTATTAGGTTTTACAGGAAATGTTTTTTGCATAATATACCGTTCTTTCAGGGTCATTCCAGCATCCTTTGATTTTGGGGTTAATGAAAAATTAAACCATTATTAATTTATATGTATATATATATTTTTTAGTTATTTATTGTTTTTCAATTATTTTCATTTCTTTTTTTTTTTTGCTTTTTTTTTTAATTTTTTTTAAATACAATGGTTTGTTTAATATATATATTTTTGTGTGTATATAAATATGTTTAATGTTTTTTTTTTTTTATAATTTTTGTATTTTTTTTTTCTACTAACATTTATGCTGATTCATTATTTCATTTAATGCTATAGTTAGTAATATTTATACATAATAATATATAAGTGTATTGTTATGTTTTGTTTTCTTTTTTTTTTTTATTATTAAATTTGCCATAATAGTTGTGTTATTTTGTTGTGTTATAATTTTTTTTTCATTATTTTAAATTTATTGTTTAAATCACTTTCTAATTTTTTTTTTTACTGTTATATTTTTATATTGAAATAAGTATATATTGTGTTATACATACATATATATATATATATATAGTTTTATTTTCTTATTTTATATAATCAGTTTTTTTTTTCTTTTTTGTTGTTTTCAATTTTAGTTAAAAAATAGTTTTTAAATATTTTGATTATTTAGTCATTGTTGTTGTTTTATAAACACACATATGCACATACATTTTATCTTTTTATTAAAAATAATATTTTGTAATTATTTATTTAAATATTATTATTATTATGTAAATTTATATAACCGATGTTTTAGGTATTGAATACAAGAATTTGGGTATACAAGAACTCGTATAAATATTTTATTTTACTTTTATAATATAAATATCATTAAAAAAAAGGAAGGTATTGGTGTCATGTATTTCATAAAAAGAAAAGAAATAAGGACATTTTTAATTTACAATTTATTCAATATGAGTACAATAGTAAAAATAATGAACTTTAAAAATGACCAAATCTTCAATATCCATCTATTTTATAGGAATTTTCTCCCTCAAAATAGGTTTTTGAAAATAAATGTCTTAATAAATGGATTGGTTTCTAAATAGGAGTATATCACTTAACAAAAAATTGTGGATCTAATTCTTAGGTACAATACCTATTAATTAAACAACTACACGTTATATAAGTAATTCAGTAATGTAAAGCTAATTCCAACTATATCTTATAATTATGACCCCAAATATATGTAAATGATGGAGCCAGAATACAGCTTTTTTTTGGAATTTTACATAATAATGTTGTGATAATTGGAATATAATTTAAATATACTGACCAAGTAGCATACATGGGAGTCCAAAATCATCTTTAAAATCCAAAAAAAGGAAAAAAAAAATTAAATTCATCAACAAAATTCTATGAGAAAAATTATAAAGCCATTATTGAAAAATTATGTATAAATAGTTTTCTTTTTTTAATTTAACTCTAATTAATTAAATGTTTTCTTATTAAATTAATTATTCAATTAAATAATAAAACTTAAACATTGAAATATACAATGATTTATGTATTTCGATATTTTTTTAAAAACTTTAGTCTTTATACTCGTATATCTCCTTTAATTAATGAAATAAATTAGAGGAAAAATCTTTTCACAATTTTGTTTGATAATTATTATTGTTTGATAATTATTTTACATATCATACACTGTGCATGAAATATATAAAATAATATTTTACTGCGTAAATTAATTAATGTAAAATCAATGCTTATTGGAGTAGAAATAAATGTAAGTTCATAATATCATTCTGATAAAAATTTTTTAAATGATTTTATATTTAAAAATAAAAAATTTATGTAATATATAATATATTATGTGCATATATGTTTGAGTTATTATAATTATAAACGCACGCGTAATATTGTACATTTGTATATGTATATATGTATGTGCTATGTTTATTTTGTTGTTGTTTTGCATATTGTTTTATTTGATGATTTTTTTTTTTAATTATTATGTATTGGATTTTGTATATTATTTATACATAATAATAGCATTCATTTTACAAATTTCATCTATTATTTTTTTTTAATTATTTTATATTATTATATTATTATAATGTACTTATTTTCTTGTTTAG